CTCTCCACGCGTTTCAGCTGGGAATCGTGGTGCTGTGCGTCCAGCACAGACTCGAACCCACGAGCCCTGCAGCTCCTGGTGAACTCCCTGTCTCAGCGCAAGGCGTGTGGGGCTGCGGGAGCCTGCTTGGCCGGCTCAGGGAGCCTGCTTGCCCTGTCCATTCCCTGGGCCTCTCTGTGCCCCAGCAACTCAGTCTGTAATGTCCGCAGGGTCTTTGTTCTCGCGTCCTACCCTCAGGGATTAGATGGGAGGTACCTGGCTCTCTGTGCGCGTTTCAGCTGAGTGTGCGTCCAGCACAGACTCAAACCCACGAGCCCTGCCACTCCTGGTGAACCAGGTATTCATTTCTGTACTGATTCAAGTTATACACTTCTCTTCATTTTCCCTTTTCAATTCCCTGTAAACATTTCATTTTTGGAGATTCTACTATATAGTTGAAGGACTATAAGAAAGAAACACAAACAGTTTTTGTGGTCACTTCTACAAGCATAGTTAACAAACATTTGACAGTAAATTACACCACTGCTACACAATTTAACTTAGACCAAATGTGTATTTGTTTTCATTTTATGTCCTTGTTTCTTGCTATGCTTCGCTGTTGTGGTATTAGGATCTGAATCTTGTCAGAGAACCTTAAAGCAGCATAAAGTAGGTTAGGCCCAAAGACTGAAACTATCACATGAATTGTCACCAGAAACTTGAAAGAGATCATCTTTCTGGCTAACTTGGGGAAGAATGGTGTACAAAGTGTTCCAACTAGTGATCCAAAATCCAAAAGAAACGAGCAGTTGATTTTTAAGACAAGCCTAAAGAATAACATGGATTATTGTGAGCATGCTCCAGTCCTTATATGAATCAAGGTGGCTACAAAGGTTCCACTTAAGTCATTTTATTTCTGAGGTGGAATTAACAGACATACACACAAAACTGTGATGAAGAAAAAATTATTTTCTGATTTTAGAAAAATGCTTATGAAAATTACTATTTTAGATAGAGATAAAACATATAACTCATTCACAAGTACTTATCATTTATCTAATCTTTTCAGGGGCAAGTCAATACAAAAATAGAGGAAGATCAGAAGTCAGCTCTTACATGGATACAGAATTCTTTAAAATACTTTTTTCAAAGGCCATCTATTTACCTAACTTTCAAACTACAGGCTCCATCTAGACATCCTTATGCTTCCCAAACCCATCCTATAGAGGCAGAAAATAAGAACTCCAGAAATGATACAAAAGCAGCTTTGAAGAAAGATTCCAAGGGAAAAAGAGATTCACATGGAACTGATCCAGAATACAAAAAAAATGTAAAAGATGATAAACCCCAAAGAAAAAATAAAGGAAAGATATCTCCATCAAACTCATCAAATCAAAGTGAACTGATTAAGAAGTCAAAGTCCAAGTCAGAAACAAGTCCAGTATTCAAAGATTCTAAGGTACTGTCAAAAGCTCTTTCAGATTTTAAGATAAATTCAAAGAATTCTGAGGAGTCAGATACTGAATCCATATGTAGAAAGAGCAATCTAAACAAAGATCCTAAAACAACTAAGAAAAATTCTGATATCAAATCAGAGCCTTATTCAATAAATAATTCAAATGTCAATTTAATGATGTGTGTAGAGGAGTCTGTCACTGAACCCATGGGTTTTGACATATGGTTAAAGAATTACTCACACAACAATTCCAAGAAGAGTGCAAAAAAAGAGGCAAAGAAAGATGCAAAGAAGAGCTCAGATGCTGAATCTGAAGACTCAAAAGTTGCCAAGAAAGATACAAAAAAGGATACGAAACCAGGAAAGAAAGATGACAAAAAGAAGGATGGAAAGGATGCAGAATCTACTGACGCTGAATCTGGAGATTCAAAAGATTCAAAGAAAAATGCAAAAAAAGATCAGAAACCTGGCAAGAAAGATGATAAGAAGAAAGATTCAAAAAGTAGTGCAGAATCTACTGATGCTGAATCTGGAGACTCAAAGGATGCAAAAACAGATTTAAAAAAGGATAAGAAAGCTTCCAAGAAAGACAACAAAAAGAAAGATGACAAAAAAGGCACAGCCACTACTGATTCTGAATCTGAAGCAGGGTCAAAGAAGGGTAAGAAAGATGACAAAAAAGAAAAGAAAGACAGTAAAACAAAATCCACCAAGAAAGACTCAGCTTCTACTGATCTTGATACTGCATCTAAAAGAGAGTCAAAAAAGGGCAAGAAAGATGAAGATAAGGATAAGAAAGATTCAAAGAAAACTGACAAAACGAATGAAAAAAAGCCTGCAGAGTCCACTGGAAGTGAGTCTAAATTGGAGTTAAAGAAGGGTAAGGAAGATTCAAAGGAAAGGAAAGCTTCAAAGAAAGAGGTCAAGAAGGAAGCAAAGACGGACTCAGAATCTACTCATGCTGAATCTGATACGTCACTACAAGGACCTGTGTCTGAAAAGATGCTTGATGACTCAGATGCCCAGAAGAAGAAAGTATCTTTCCTAAAGAGAAGGTTTAAAATGTCATCTAAAAAGACGAGTGACAGCGGGGAAAAACCAAGAGATAGAGAAACGTCATCACTGTCTCCTTGTGAGCCTTTTCCACCATTACGTAGTCGCAGATGTCTCTGTCAGTGCAAGACTCCTCCTCCACCTCCAAAACCAAGATATGCTCCTTTGGTATGTTTGCTTCTGCTTTTTTTATAGGTAAAATCAGATATTACGATGAAATATTTTTTACATTTTAAGTGCATCCATTCTCTGAAAAGTAGTTATCTTGCATTATTGACAAATTTGAGACTTAGCATTAAGAAAAATAAAGTGTACTTCAAAGAGACTGAAAACATTTGACAAACAAATGTTAAAACTTATGAGACAAACACATCAGGTTAAATATTGCAAGGTTTCTATTGGAAATCCAAAACAAAAGTAAATAAAAGATAATAAGAAATAAGGAGATAGACCTTTTATGAAATGAAATGAAATGAACCAAGAAATGGAGGGAGAGAGGATGGGAAGTGGATAGAAATCAAATGGAGATTTGTTATGTACATGTATCAACTCCCAAAGAGAAATATAATCATTAGGTACTGCAAATATGTACTAATAAGAGGTAAAATTTGAAAAAAAAGTAAGACATCTAGAGTTATTTTCACTAAAGCAGACAAGTGATTTGTGTCTATGAATTGCTTTAAATTAATAAGGTCATTTTACAAAAATCATTATTCTATAAGGAGGAAAAACAAATAAAAATTAAAACTTCTACAAGAGCACATTTAAGTGAGACATACAGATATTACCTGAGAAGTTAGTAATTAAAACAAATTTAAATTAATTAAAATCCAAACATAGTAGAAATACAACATACCATGTTTCAGTTGTGTAACATTAAAATTATTTAACCTGCATATGAACTAAACATTTATGGGTCCTTGTCATTGCTAATACCAGAAAATAAAAGTTAACTTTCCAGAAGTAACTAGATCTTTTTGGCTTCTAACAGTCTGTCAGATTTACTCCGTTTCCTTGAGGGTAATTACTCTCAATTTATAATAGAATTTTCCTATCTAACAAATTAACTATTTTATCCCTTTTCCAAATAGTTTAATTTTATAGGGAAACATAAATAGATATTTCATTTTCTAAGGTAGAATTCCTGTTCCAAAATGGAGTTTTGGTCTCTGTTTCTGTCTCTTTCTGCTCTGTGTTGAAGTGTAACCCATTTTAGTGTGTTCTGAGCATCAGCACTTTATCTCTGCTTTCACTGTCTTTGTTGTCTGTTCTTAGCACAGTAGGACTGATGCACTGTCATGCTAAACTCAGGAGATCTGTAAGTATTGCTAGATTTTGATATTAAGCTTCTCATATTCATTTATTCCCTTTTTCTCTTCCACCACTACCACTACCTCTTCCTTCTCCACAATCTCTTTTTTTCTCCTCCTCTTCCTCCTCATCCTTCCTCCTGGATCCTTCTTTTTGTATCTCTTGAGGGGTTGGTGCTGCCTCTTCCAGTCTGATGGGGAATTTCCTTTACCTTATATACTAACTTTTATCTGTATTTGATTTATGATAAAACTACATACTTAATTCTATTTGCATTGAAGTTAATTTTATTTTGGAAATTAGAACTATATTTCATGCCTTTCAAAAGAGCCATGTATGAAGTCTATTGTCTCTCAACATTGTCAAAAATCACGCTTTGAGATAGAGCTGATTAATAACCTCCTTGCTCTAGATTCTATCCACTTTAAGGAGTGTGTCAACGGATGGGAGGTGCTAGAAATGAAGAAAATTTGCAAGGACTGAAATTGCACTGAAGATGACTTTTAAAATAAATCCACAAGGATCCTTAAATAGCTAGATTATTTTCTGCAAGCAGTTTTAAGTGAAACATAGAAAAAGAAATTATTGCAGAGGGTTAATTTTTGTCAAAAAATAGAGATTGACATTAATTCATGCCAAGTCTCCTTAATAAACTTCCCTTATGTATTCGCAGTCCAGCTAGACTTTTTTGACCTTGTCACTTCACTGATAACTTCTTTTTTAAAGATTACCAAATACACTCTTTTATCCATATCCACTGGGTGTCTTCTCTTCTTATCTTAGTCTATAATCTAACAGAATTTAAACTAAATTCTCTCCTAGAAACACATGCTTTACTTCACATCTATGATGACTTGCTTTCCTATTTTTATCTCTACTATGTGGTAACTTTAAATCATGTTTATTACATTTTCCACTGCCCCATCCTTAATTTTTGGAATGATTCAAGGCTTTTTCCTTGACCTTCTTCTTGTACAATTTATCTTTGTTGAGCTTATACAATCTAATGGCTTTAAATACCATTTACATGTTTACGACTCCAAAATTAATCTATGGTTCTCATTTTCCTATGTAGTTTCACAGTCATACTCAGCTTATTGAAAGATTTCAACCTAACATTTCTCAACACAACTTTTAACCTACTACAAAATAGTTCCTCTTCTAGCCTTCACTGTCATTTTAAATGGTACCATTTTCCAACCAGCTGATCTTGTAATACCTGGATATAATCTGTGTTTTGTCTTTTTCTCTCTTTTCACATGTAATCATTCAATAAGATGGGGGTGCGTTAATACCAAAATGTATCATGAACCAGTCCACTTTTCTTCATCTCTATTATTACCATATTATGATCCAATTGACATGTCATTATCCTTTTCCCTGGAATACTGTGAAAGTTTCCAACTCATGACTCTATCCTTATACTGTTTAAAATATTTTAGTGACTTCCACTACATTGAGAATAAAAGTCAAATTTCTTACCTGTCTTTCAGTGTCAACATTATCTAGAGCCTATCTATTTTCCACTATCACCTTGTGTCACTTTTCTTTTTCCTTTGTGATTGGGTGAAAATGGCATCCATTTTGTTTCTCATAGACACCAAGATAATTTTCTCCCCAAACATTTGCATATGATGTTTTCTTGAAGAGAATATTCCACCCCCCCTCAGAGTTTTGATTTACTAACCCTTCTCTGTACTTAGTATTTCAACTCAAATGTCCTCTTTAGAGAGGCCTTCCTTCATTACCTTATATTACCCCCTCCTCCATAAAGGTGCATTCGTTCTTCACACCCTGCACTCTACATTATTTCTCCTCACTGAATTTACATTTATCAAAAATAATATGTTATTTTTGGTTTATTATATTCGCCATTAGGATAAAAATTCCATGCAAAAGCTAGTGTCATTGTTCAGAGTCAGTTCTTTTATACTTCTGCACTAAGTAGACAGATTTGATTTGAATCCTTGTTCTATCTCTTATTAACAGAATGTCAGTGGATTGCTTTCTTAATCAGTGGGATTATCAGGTTTCTGAAGTATAAAATGGGACATAAAGAGACTTTTCACATAAAATGAACATATAAAATACTTATTGCAGTATTTGACATTGCATTATGTATATTCATGGAACTCTACTGTCATATCCCATAAAAATAGTATACATGGATTTGTAATTGCATACAGTCTATATTTGCACAGTGTAAAAGAACTAAATTCATCAGAAAATATTCAGTAAATAAAATAATCAACATCTTCAACCATTCCCATTTCCTTGATAAAATCAATTGATACCTCATTTTATTTTTGAGCAAGTATTGTTTATTGAGCACAAAGAACTTACATGGCATAAAATTCAATACCAAATATTTTAACTTGAAACATCAATTTAGGAAATTAATTAGTGGACAAAAGTTCCAAATATAATCAGAAAACTCAGTAATGAAGGCTACAAGCTATTATTTGTATAAAACTTGAGAGCTCTTTATAGTATCTAGTCTATGTGCAACTAGGCAAAGCATCGACTGAGGTTAAAGTGATGAGAACTGTGAGACTTAGTTCAATTTTTACTTTTCTTCATTGAACCTATGCTGTTTCTTGATAAAATAAGGCCAATGAATCCCTTTCCTATTCTAAGCATAATTCTTCATCTCTAAAGTGAAGGATTGAATTAGATGGGTTCTAAATTTAAATTAACATAGATGACATACTAGGAAGAGTCTGGAGTTTTCTTGTGCCGGAAAGAAGAAAGGTCATATTCCTGCAAATAATTGTCATGGAAAATGGTTGGATAATCCCAATGACGTAAGAGAGGGGATTGAAAAATTATTAAAAATTATTATATTTAGTGAATATCTTTACGATGTTTAATTCTTCTTAAGAAATGATAGAAGGATTATTGACAACACTGTGATTTTACAAGAATTTTAATGCTTTAGAGATGCTTATATAATATATAGTCATGACATGAGAGGTCATTTACTTTGGAAACTGTGATTTAAATGATATGCTTTTAAAGACTTGGACTGGAAATATGGCACAGTGGTAGAGCCCTTGTTTGGCATGAATGAGACCTGGGACCAATTCCCAATACTGTATAATTAATTACTTAATCAATTTTTAATTTGTTTTGAAAAAATAAAGCAAAACTCCATAAATGAAAAATAAAAGAATACAATAGATATTACATTGTGTATCATTATATCCTTAGTAGTTACTCAGAGTATAAGACATGACAAAAAGTTTCTTACAAAAAACAGCATAAGAACACAATTCTTTCTTTTCAATAAATCATGACAAAATAGTAGTATAATTGAAGTCAATTGGGATACATATTGAAATATTTGTAAATAATGGAATTTGTAGAGGTAATGGACTTCTCCCTATTTCCTATTTATCACTCTTTAATTTTACTCTTTTTTTGTGTTCCTCATATACGAGCAACTATGATATTTGAGCTTGTCTGACTCATTTCATTTAACATCATGTTCTCAAGTTGCATCCATTAACCTACAAATGCTTCAAGTTTATTTTTCTTTGAGGCACCATACTAATCCATTGTGCATAAATACCACATTTTCCCTGTCAATTAATCTGTAGGTGGACATATACATTGTTTCTAAAATCTGGCTACTATGATTTGTGCTGCAATTAACATGGGTATGCATGTACCCGTGGAATATGAAAATTTTAACTCTTTTGGAAAACTACCCAGTGGGGAACTAGCTGGGACAAATTGATTCCTATTTTCAGTTTTTTAAGGAATCTCCACATTGTTTTCTATGAATATACTAGTTTATATTTCCACCAACAATGTCATAGAATTCCTTTATCCCCATGACTTACCAGTTGTTAATA